TCTATCTATCTATCTATCTATCTATCTATCTATTTATCTATCTATTTATCTATCTATCCACCTGCCTCTTTATAATCTATCAATCTCAGTCACTTTATAGTCTATTAATATATCTATCCCAGTCTCTTCATAATCTATCTATCTATCTATCTATCTATCTATCTATCTATCTATCTATCCCAGTCTCTTCATAATCTATCTATCTATCTATCTATCTATCTATCTATCTATCTATCTATCTATCTATCTATCTATCTATCTCTCTATCTATCCCAGTCTCTTCCTAATCTATCTATCTATCTATCTATCTATCTATCTATCTATCTATCCACCTGCCTCTTTATAATCTATCAATCTTAGTCACTTTATAGTCTATTAATATATCTATCCCAGTCTCTTCCTAATCTATCTATCTATCTATCTATCTATCTATCTATCTATCTATCTATCTATCTATCTATCTATCTATCTATCTCAGTCTCTTTATAGTTTATTAATCTACCTATCCCAGACTCTTCATAATCTATCTATCTATCTATCTATCTATCTATCTATCTATCTATCTATCTATCTATCTATCTCACGTAATCCTGTATCTTCAGCCTATTCCTATCTATCTATCTATCTATCTATCTATCTATCTATCTATCTATCTATCTATCTATCTATCTATCTATGTCAGTCTGTCCCTAATCTATTTATCTCAGTCCGTATCTTCATAATTTACCTATCTTCTTTTATGTGTCATGTCCCTTCAGGAAATAGGTGATCATGGCTCTCCCCTTTCTCCTATCACTTGTAGCTCTTAATAAGTTTCATCCGACAGCAACCTCTCCTAGACCACCTTCTGTCATCCACTTGCTCAATCCCGCCAGATATGTCACGCGCTCCTTACCCTTGTCTCTCTTTCACTTTATTCGACCTGTGAGTGTCAGATTCTCCAGGCCTTCGTTTTTCCTTACGTGTCCCAGAAACCTCAACTACCTTTTCCTGATGTTAAATATAAGCTTCCGCTTTGTTTGAATCCTCTCCAAAACCTAATCGTTGCTCACATGTTGTGGTCCATGGTATCCTTAGGATCCTTCTGTAGAACAATACCTCCGTTGTCTCGAGTCTCTTCATCTTTGAGGCAACCGTCCAACATTCGCTGCCGTGAAGGAAGACAGATGTCACGTAGCAGCTCAGAACTCTTTTCTTTGTTACTAAAGAAATCTTCCTGTCTCTCAATACTCTACCCAGCCTTTCGAATCATTTGACATAAATTTTTAGAAAAGCTTCAAGACTTTATATACGTTTCAGCGTACGTACCATATATTTTCTTATTCGGGAAACAGCTTTTTCGTAACTCTTAATTTTGAAATAATCTGTTTTATTTTATTTTTTTTATAAATTGGCGAATTGAATTTCTGTATGTCATCTTATTGACTAACTGGTTCCTTTTTTACGGCTTATCAACCCTTTGCATTATTTAACCACTTTCTCACCACAGACGTGTTTTTACCGAAAGTGTCTGTCTCAGATATAGAAGAAATAAACATAATGTTCTAAAAACAGCTACAGACGTGTTTATACCCTACTGAACTTAAAATGAGTCCAATTGTCAACTCAAACGTTTGGTAGAGGTGTTAGCCACCGCTCGGGTACTCAGTTTCTTAGTTACTATGTTAAAAAACAAATAAAAATAATCGTCTGAAATTGAAACGTTTTCCCCAAAATGAATCTCGGTGATTGGGTTAAAGCCAAAAAAAAAAAAAAAAAAAATTTAGATTGTAAGAAAATTTCTTTTTTAGATTATAAGAATTTAGTAATACAAGTCTTACACAGTCTTACTAATTAACCCATAGCTGGGGGAGAAGAGTTAGATTCATACCTTTTCCAAGGGCATTTGTGCGTAAGTGAATATAGCGAACTCGACTGTAATTGCAACTCAGCTCACCGATTAACAATTCCGAGTCTGTATCCATTTCACCATATCGGCCCCGCATCTAGCCACTGACTCGGCTCGGCATTGCTTAACTTCTGTGATCGAACAGAAATCGATATTTCAACGTGATGTGGCCGTAAACCATTGCGTAATCAGAAAGGGAAATGTTTTTCACGTTTGTTAATTTTGAAATATTTTTTTGTTTTAAAAAATTGTTCACGGAATCATTTGTAAATGTCATAAAATTGCGCTGTTTGTCAATAGAAGGTTTAATTTTATGGAAACAAAAAAAAGAAAATCTGCAAAGCAAATCTTAGTCGATACAAGGGCCAATGAAAATTCTTTACCCATCCAAGGAGCATTTCAGAAAATTTGACAATAATCTCTTTAACAGAAGTTAGATTATGTTTTAGGCTGCAAGTTCTACACTCGGGAATGTCCCACGAAACGATAGCCTAGTGGAAAGTAACAGCTCATGTAAATGGCATAGTAATTGTGGGATCGTTTCCTGGTAAAAATGAACAATAACTCTGTGGCAGTAAATAGGAACAAGGCGAGATATTTCTCGACATGGTCAATCAAACGAGTATATACTCGTCTAACCGAAGGGGAAATCATCCGAAAATGCTTTGATAAAAATAACGAAGATGAGGAGAATAGGGTCGTGTTTATATGGGTAACGTTTCTGATTGTTATTATTGACATGCATTGTAAATCAGGGAGAAAACGATTGTAATTGTGCAGAAATTAATGTAATAATTACTGATGAATTAAACAAATTATATCTGTTTAAATGCATTGCTAATGATTACTACTATAGAAATGAATTGTAAAGCAGGAAGAAAGGGGTATCTGGAGGTCAGGAATTAATGCAAGCATAACTAAAAGAGTTGGCCTATTATACGCCTCGTGTAAATGACTTGATAATAATTTTATCAAGAACTAGCAGTCGAGCCCGGCGTTGCCCGGGGATGTAACAGTAAGAGATAGATCAAGTATCGACCATCATAAAGACTGAAAAATAAAACTGTCAAAGATTATTGTTTAAGGTTGACGGACACGCATGTCTTAATTATTTTTTTTTTTTTTACGAATTGGTCAAACCCAAACTCAAAGAAAAACATTGTTTTCAATCGTTATGAGTCTACCGATTGAATAGAATTTTATTGTTTATTATAAACAATTGTCTTGTAAATGGAATTTTTAAAGCATTCTGAATGTAAAAATAAAGAAAAAAGTGTGCAAGACAATAAGAAACATTACCTGCCAAAAAAAAAGGAGGTTTGTGGAAATCGGTTGAAAATGTAGGAAATCCGATCCCATATATAAACGAACACACACACACACACACACACACAAACAACCTGGGTTTTATAATAAGAATAACTCGATATGAGTTGTCCCCCTTTCATTAATGTTTCTTAATCGTGTTTTCAAATTGATTTCTTGCAAAAAAAATTGTGTTTTTCCAATTTTTGGCGCTGTCAGAACCACCGCAAGGTAATTTTACGTAGTCCTGTGAAGGTTTGTTAAAATCGGTTGAAAAATGTAGGAAACTCGATCCAATATATAAACGAACAGACACACACACACACAACCTGGGTTTTATAAGTATGATGCATTCGACATCAAGAAAAAAAGGGATTGTCAGTGATCAACTATTAATGCAGTTTTCACTGAAAGAACAGCACGATTATATATATATATATATACTTGAAATGATTTTTGAAATGGTTAATTATCCCTGAAAAAATTCCGGCCATTATGCCGATAACGCAAATGCATTTCTAACGATGAAGAAAGAGAGAAAGAAAGATACAAAGAAAAAAAGAAAGAAATAAACCAAAGAAAAGGAAAAACTTAATGAGAAAGAAAGAAAGAAAGAAAGAAGGAAAGAAATTTGATAAGAAAGAAAGTTAAAAAGAAAGACTGTTTAAGAAAAAAGGTAAACAATAAAGAAAAAAACAAACAAAGAGAAAAAAAGAAAGAAAAGGAGAAAGACAAGAAGAAAAGAGAGAAACGTTTAAAAGAAAGAAAGATTTAATAATAAAGTTAACATGAAAGACTAAAAAAGGAAGATATTAAAGAAAGAAAGAAATAAAACGAGAAAGAAAGAAACAAAGAAAGAAACAAAGTGTGGAGGGAAAAAAAGAAAGATAAAGTTAATAAGAAAGAAGGAAAAAAAATTAATAATAAAGAAAATAAACACGAAAGAAAGACAGAAAGAAAGAAAAAAAGAGAAAGAAAGAAAGCGAAAAGGCAGAAAGAATTGAAAAGAGATTGCAAAATAAGACGAAAGGGATGACCATTTGTCCCCAAGTCTCACTGAAAAATTAATAATATATGTATGACGTAAATGACTTTCTAATTATCATAATATAGACATACATAAAAAATCAGAAAGAAAGGTATTGTCAGTGGTCAAGAAATAAAGGCAAATATCAATCAAAGAGAAGAATTGTTATATTTTTTTATTCAAATGCATTGGTAATGATTTTACTACAGAATTGCTTTGATATGTATAGTCAGTGGTCAGGAATTCAAGTCTTAGCAGAATAGAGTTACAATTTGTATCATGTAAACGCATTGCTAATTCGTTTCTGAGACACATTCATCGAAACAACGAATTAATGGAAACTTTACTGTTAGATTGATTTTATTTTACGACTTATCAACCCTTTGCCGGCTATTTAAAGCTAGAAAACGTGTTTAGATTGTAAGAATATTTTTTGTAGATAATAATGGTTCATTGATACAAGTTTTAGTAATTAAACCCATAACTGTGGTAGAAAAGATGAATGGATGCCTTTTGCAGGGGTATTTGCGCGTAAGTGATGATAAGGAATACGGCTGGAATTAGAATTAGAACTCGGTTCTGTGATTTTCAATTCCAAGCAGTTATCCCTTACACCACCCGCTCATCCAAGCTTACAGCACGTGATATAGGTGAAGAGGTCACCCATCTAGCTACTGAGGTGAAGAAGTCAGCCATATGCTTAACTTCGGTAAGCAGACGAGGACCGCCTTTTCAGCGTGATATGGCTGGAAGCCTGCTTTTGCTGTTAGCAGAACATGACTAAACAGAGAGAGAGGGAGGGGGAGATTTGGAATAGAGAGAGAGGGGGAGGGGGAGATTTGGAATAGAGAGAGGGGGAGATTTGGAATAGAGAGAGGGGGAGGGGAGATTTGGGATAGAGAGAGAGGAGGAGGGGGAGATTTGGGATAGAGAAAGAGGGGGAGGGGGAGATTTGGAATAGAGAGAGAGGGGAGATTTGGAACAGAGAGAGAGAGAGGGGAGATTTGGAATAGAGACAGAGGTGGTGGGGATATTTGGAATAGAGAGAGAGGGGAGGGGAGATTTGGAATAGAGAGAGAGAGGGGGGAGAGAGACGGAGAAAGAGAGGTGAAAGAAAAAGAAAAAAACAATGTCTACGATGAAAGCATAGATAACCTGATTAAAAAAACAAACAAACAAAAACAACAACTGATAGGCTGATCAATCTAAGACAGAAAAAAAAAATCGATCAAAAGATTTGGCGGAATACATAAACTCCATCACATCATTCTCACTATTTGTCTCCTTTTTTCCTATTTTTTTTTCTTTTTTTTCTTTTTTATTGCTATTTTACCCGCTGGACTTCGACGCGATTGGTTAGGAATTGAGAGACTTCAAACAAAACAACAAGAAAAATATGGGGGAAAACAGGTGATAGAAGCTGAGACAATGTCAGCTGACTGGCGTCAAAAGGGCGAAAGTCCAACTGTGACGGGTTGGTGCCCGTTTGACAAAAAAAAAAAAAAAAAAAAAAAAAAGGAGAGAAACGGAAGAGAAAAAAAAAAAAAAAATACGTGAATACTGTCAACCTTTAATCCCATAAAATGACAATATATGATGAACAACCAAAAACACACACACACACACACACACACACACACACATATATATATATATATATATATATATATATATATATATATATATATATATATATATATATATATATATATATATATATATATATATATATGTATATGTATATAATGAATTAGGATTGAATAAATATGTATTTGAAAACATATGCATGTATATTCATGTCCACAAATACCCAACAGAAATATACACACACACACACACACGCACTCATTCACAGACAGGCGCACACACACACACACACAAACACACATATATGAGGGTGTGCCAAAAACAATCAGCTAAGTCGGAACCTTCCAATATATATATATATATATATATATATATATATATATATATATATATATATATATATATATATATATATGTGTGTGTGTGTGTGTGTGTGTGTGTGTATGTGTGTGTGTGTGTATTTCAGTTTCGTTTCTATGGATATAAATATACATGCATATGTTTTCAACTTTATTAAACAGTATATTTATTTTTACCTATTTTTTTCCAGAAATCTTATTACAGAAAATAGCCATTGCAGAAAGATATATATATATATATATAATATATATATATATATATATATATATATATATATATATATATATATATGTGTGTGTGTGTGTGTGTGTGTGTGTGTGCGCGTGTGTGTGTGTAATTTGCTTTAGGTGGATATGTGTATTTGCGTTTATTTGCTTTTTGTATATAAGGTATAAATGAGTGTATGCTGAAAGAGCTGCATTGAACCAGAATAACATTTACAATTATAATATATATATATATATATATATATATATATATGGAGAAATATAGTTTTAGGGTGTGCTATATTTATGGGATAAAGTGCTCAATAACAGAAATAGAGCATATGTAAACATAAATATAAAAGTGAACATTGAAGTCAACACTCAGAGGCGACAGATTAACGATTACGTCTAGCATGAAACAGTCTGTCGCCTCTGTGTGTTCACTTCAACGTTCACCTATATATATATATATATATATATATATATATATATATATATGTGTGTGTGTGTGTGTGTGTGTGTGTGTGCGTGTGTGTGTGTACAGGGTGTCCATAAGGTCTCTTTATGACTTAAAAGATTTATTCCAAAAGCAAATGAACAGACAAATATATGGAAATTCTGACACAATGTGGAGTAGATATATGAAATTTACTTAACTAATTGAATATATCTCTATATGGACAGCATCACCCACGACGGTACTCAATTTACACGACGAAAGTTTTCCTTTAATTCTCTTAATCGTTCTTTCCTTCCGTTATCCAACACCGTCCCTGCCTCCATAAATTCCTTGTGTCATGCACGAATTGGCGGACGTGACGATGGAATCTTTCATACCAAGTTCTCTAGCTTCGCTGAATCTGCGTAGCTGATTTTCTTTCAATAAACCATGAAACACATTTACATAATATTTCTATCTAAACATTTTTTCAGGAAAATAGGTTTCTCACGAAGCTGTTATAGCTCTTTCACCTACTGATATCGGTTGCCTTCCTAGCTTTTTCACTGAAATATCAATTTACAGTTGAGATGGCTCGATGTAGCCGTAAGTTTTATGCAAAGAGGTTATTTTCTCGCACTTCTTGAAGATTTCATTTTAACCTCAAAAGCTAAATGATTAAATTTAC